TATCAATTAAGGGTACCATTATCTAATTCAAGCTTTCCTTATTCCATAAATCCATTTCATTAATTTTTACTTGTGTTTCATTTATCCTTAATTAAATTTCAAACTTCACTCACTCATTCAATAAATACATATTTTTATTAATTTACAAAATATTCATACAATACATTTACATTTCTAGGAGGGTTTTAGGTTACAAATGTTACGAATCCAATGATGGACCAATTGCATCCATCACCAATGTGGTGATATGGATTGGTCGGAGGTTCATCAAATATTTGTTCGGAGTTGAACAAAATTTACCAAATTATTACCATAATTAATCGACTCATTTTCTCCATGACATCTCCATACATAATACTCGGACATAAAACCCTATCTCATCAAATGATACTTAAGCGTATCAAGATTTTCATAACTAAGGTTCGACACTTTTTAATTTTAAAAAGACATCTTATCTTATTTACGTCCATACACTCCGAATGACTAACGTTAAAATTAATAAATTCATTAATCTCATCTACAAAACACTAATTTAAAAAACCATCTCGTTAGTCTATAGTTGATCTATGAACGATCCAAATTCATTTTAAACTAAATATAATTAATTTAATAAATAGCTAATTTACTTCTATTAACAAGTAAAAAAATTATTTAACAACTTAATTAATATTTTAATTTTTTTTAGAAACATGAATGGTACCACTGAACATATATAAATAAAATATAAAAACATACAAGGGGGACAATTCATTATATCCCAACATATTGGGAAAAAAACAAAACCTAAACCTAAAGTAAGGAAAGCTCCTTAAGTTGCACAACAAAAGTTACCTATCCGGGCGGATTAAACATACACGTCCTCTCCTCTAAAATAACCACTCTAAACATAGAAGGCAAATCATGTGTCGAGAATAGTATCTTTTGTGAATAATGTTAAAAAGCCCAATCGCTAACCTATCTTCAACCCTATTACTTTCTCAATAGTAGTGTTGAATGTGAACCCCCGATCAAATAATAGTATTGCATTTTCTAATAATGTGAGTGAGATGCCACGGACTCGGACCAATTTGAGTAATGCTTGCTCGGAGTCATGGAAGAATCAATCTCCACTATATCATATAAACTATTAAACTCTTTGCATAATTTTAAGCCCTCTAGCAAAGCTAAAGCCTCTCCCATCTAGTTCTTGAACCAAAGAAGCGAGGAGATGGCCATAATAAGATTGCCTCTATCATTACGAATTAAACCACCACTAACATATTGATCGTTTCTTGATGCCCCGTCCGTGTTTAATTTTAGTTTGTCCAAAGGAGGGAATAACCATTTTAACCAGATTCCTAAGCTAGGGATTAGAGTTCGTTGGAGTGAGACCTAGTGCACCAAGACATAACCTATCATGGAAAAAAGAGTTTTTTTGGATGGAAGATGCTTGAAAGTTCATGAAGCCAAAGAAGAACTTTATGTTTGATTTTTTGCCGACATATTTTTTCTTCTTCAAATAATGATTTGTTCTGGCCAACCATAATTCTCACAATATACAATTATAAATAACCATCTTTGTAAAATATTTTTATGAGAAAACTTACCTTTACAAAACTAACCCAATGTTAAGTGTTCAATTTTCCTAGGCTCACAAATGCCTAGCTATCTCACCATACAAAAATAAGTGGTTTATAGTTTCTACATCCGGCGTGGTATAACATTGGCATTTTAAAGCCAAAGGAATTCCACACTTCTTAACATTCTCTTCCACTTGCCACTACATTATGAAAAAGCTTCAGACAAAGAAACTTATTTTTTGGGTACCCATTGATTCCAAAGGCTCCTCTACTAGGCAAAGCTCGGAGTAGTAACCACTTATTGCATTATGATAGTCCTTTGTGTTGAAGTTGCCATTGTTTGAACTTGTATAACATAGCTTATCTTACGTGTTTATGTCTAAACATAAACGATCTAGTTTCTATTGTACGGTGACATGAAGAGAGTTGAACATTGCTAGATTTGTTTTAACTTGCTCTACTTGTTATTTTTAGATTTCCAATAGGCTGTGGGAAGCTCAATATTTATCCATTTATCCTTCTAAATATTCACTTTACTAGACCCGACAATCCGGATGGAGTGCTCCCTAAGATAATAGAATATGTGACAATAGTGCTTTTCGGACAAAAGACCTTTTATTACTGGTTGAACTATTTAAATTCCTTGGATCACCATACTTTGCTCTCATATAATAACTCCATAAAGAAGAGCTCGATAAAAACGACCATGCAAGTTTACCTTTCATCGAAAGCGTAATCTCCTGTAAGTTTTTAATACCAAGACCCCTCTCATAGACGGAAAGTGAAGTCGTTTTCCGGTTGACCTAATGATGTTTAGTTTTCCCTCCGTTATTCCATGAGAAATTAGAGATGTATTACGTTTAGTGAAGTCTTTGGAATCGGAAGAACCCCATTGAGTATATGGGGATAGAAGTGAGCATCGATTGAATTAAGGTTATTTTACCTCTCATAGACGGTAACTTGCCTTTCCATACGGCTACCTTTTCGTTGATTTTATTCTTCGATGCTACAAAGAATTCTATTCGAGGCCTACCCTTAAATAATGGCATGCCTAAATAAGTTCTTACCTAAGAAAAAGAGGAAAAACCGATCCATGCTACTAATAAGCATTTCCTTCCCATTAGATAACTTATTGCTTGCAAAGAAAGGGACTTTTTCTTTGGTTCACCAATTGACCACCAGTATCGTCAAATATTCCTATAAGAGTAGCTTTATATTTTTTAAGTTTCTTTTCTTGTCATTATAGAGCAATAAAATATCATCTATAAATAGTAGATGAGAAACTTAGGCTACTTGCTCTACTCGTATAATATGGAGAAATCTGTCCTCGCCTTATTCTTACATTTAACTGTCTACTTGAAAGCTTCCTATGCAAGAATAAATAAAGTTAGAGAAATTGGATCCCCTTGCTGTACCCATGAGTTGATTTGAAGAAACCAAATTGCTTGGAGTTCACATTGATAGTGTACTAATAATTAGAAAGACACTTCTTTATCAAATCACACCAACTCTTAGAAAAGCCAAATCTCCTTAACACTTGCATAAGGAAATCCCATTCTACTTTGTCATATGCTTTAGCCATGTCCACTTTCGAATAACATCCCCCGTGAACTCTTCTATCAATCTCTATAAACATCTCCTGCATAAGTGCTACATTTTCATGAATCGGTCTCCCTTTAACAAAACTCGATTGTTTTTTAAAAATCAAACAAGGAAGCACTCCACTCAATATATCATTTAATATACGGGAGAGGATTTGTAGGTGAAGTTACGAGAGGCTAATGGGTCTCATATTAGAGAAATCCTTAGGCTTTGAACATTTTGGTATAAGAACTATGAAGGTAGCGAGTAGCTCCTTTTAGGATCTCCCCCAAAAAACTTCTTGGATGGCAGCAACTACATCCTTAACTATGATTTCCCAACATAATCTAAAGAAAGTCCTCGTAAAGCCATTCGAACCTAGTACACTCAAATCATCCATCCCAAATACTACTGCCTTTATCTTTTCCAATTGAGGGATGCTCATGAGAGTTGTATTTTGCTGATCGAAACTAGCTCCAGAATCTCACTAAGGAAAGAAAATAAAGTCTCATGCTATTCACTTTTCAAGACATTTTGATAATACTCTATTGCTACGACCCCAATCACGATATCATTTGTACAATCATTATCATTCTTCGAGTGTAAGTGTAATCTTTGATCTCATGGTTATGTTTTTAATACAAGCATGAAAGAAAACGAAATTACGATCACCTAGCTTCAACCACTTGACTCTTGATTTCTCCTGTAACATTTTTTCCTCTATGTTTATAAGAATGTCAATGTATCCTTGGCAGTAACTAATTTTGTAAAATTCTCTTGAGTCCACTACCTTTGTAACATAGCTTCTACATAGATCACTTCATCCCTTACATGATCTAGTTGATGGTTTATGTTCCTAAAAAACATTGCAATTCCAAGCCTTTAGTTCCTTCCGCAAAGCTTTGAGCTTTAGTTGCGGAGTTGAGGAAAAGAGAGTCGATATAAGTCGAGTGCCAATGAGGCTCGAACAAAAGGAAAAAACTCTTCATTAGACGTCCACATTTTCTTGAATGAGAACCTAGCCGACATTTTATTACTCCTATCTTTAGTTAGTAATAATCGACAATGGTCCGAGTGTAATCGAGCTTGGTGTCCGCACTTAGAGTCGTGGCAAATTTGAGACCGCTAGCATGTTGATCAATTTCCTATCCAAATGCTTTTAGATTCTCCCCAAGCCTTATTGATTGTTGTACCATGTAAAATTGCTTCCTATAAATCCAATGTCACGAAGCCTTATAATCTATATAAGCACTATTGAATTCTACCATAGAGTCCAAACTTATTGAATTACCCCTCAATTTCTCAAAAATGTTCATAATCACGTTGAAATCACCCCAATAATCCAAGGACTATTAATATATAGAAATTATAGATTTTCCTAAAGAGCTCTTTTTCTATCCTATCATAGCTTGCATAGACTATTATGAATAGAAGCCGATTGTCGGATAGTTTATCTCTAACCCCAACTGTAATGGCTTGAGTGCATACCTCTTGAACATTTATTTCTAGTTGCTCCTTCCATAGAAGCCGGATGTGTTTGTTCACCTGGATTACCATAAGCATAACCCACGAAATTCAAAGACCTTACAAGAGCTTGTAGCTTAACTCTTTACTACTTCGGTTCTAAGATAAGAAGGTTATCCGATGCTTGCCTAATTAAACCCTTCGGATACCTTTTTTTATCAACGGTATCCACACCCCTAATGTTCCATATCAAGTCGCTTCATAGAGGAAAAGAGAAGAATGGTTCCCCATTGTGAGCTACATTAGATTTGGTAGCTAAACCTTCACTAATCCGTACAAGGCTCTTAAGTATCTTCTTCTTTTATTTTTTGAAACCACCCTTCCTTATTATTCTAACTACTGAATCTTATCTTGAAATACTTCAATAACCCCGGGATGTGTAGCTATAAACTCGAAGCTACCCTCCGAAACCGCATGCGGAGACAAAAAAGCCGATGGCTAATCTAGTAGCCCAATATCATCCTTAGAACCTTGCTTCAAGATAGCTAAAGTATTAAATGAATTACAAGTTGATACCTCTATGGCTATTTCTAGCATGAAGGATGTCATCTTACACTAGGTATTAACTGATTGATCTTTATGATGCTCAATCGAAAAGGAGTCTGTATAGTCTTTTTGAGTTGAAGTCGTTATATCTCGCTTATCTAATTTAGGACTCACCATTTTTCAAAGTCGACACAAGTGCAGCAATAGTTTCACTATGCCTTTCTACTATGTCCTTGTTCTTTGCTTACCGATACTAGATTCCTCGTAAGGTTTTAAGCTCGGTTCCACTATTAATCGCATGTGTGTCTCTAAAGACTCGTCCCTCTTCATAAGCCCCCTATAGTAGATGAGAAACTTCTATTTTCTATACCCATTATAACATTAATCCCCCTACTGTCGCTACTATTATATTCCTCAATGACTTGTAATTGATCTTGTCACACGTCCCGAATGCCACTATTTCTTTTTGTGAGTATTATTTACCTGTTCAACTGCTATGATTTCTTGTGGTCTTGAATTACTCCCCTGCTCTATTTGTGCAAGGCTAGAATTAGAGGCTTGTAGCAAAAAAGGATAGGTACTAATTATGATAATAGAAGTCTCGGTGTAGTTTTTCCTAACATAGCTCCTACCAACCCCTTTTCTTGACTCCTTTATAATGTAAGTGTGTGTTGCATGCCCATCTCCTTTTTTTACATATGATTTCATACCTTTACGCATGATACTCGTTGCCCCTAGTATCTTAAGTTCCAATGATTTCTTTAAACCTAAATTGTTTCTCTACTAGCAAGTCTTTAGGATACTGACTCACTAATGTTTTTAGCTATTTCTCTAGAGTGCGTGACGTTTGAGAGTTCCTCTAAATAATAGATATGTTATTTTCTCTATAGTTAGAGCTCTCTTCCCATATATACACTCTAGTATCCATAATTTATTTCCCTTTATAGTTGGTTTGTAGATAAGTTACCTTATCGGCATTAAAGTAATTGTTTGAACTTGCATGAGGTTCGTTGTTGGAAGGCTTTTTATTTAGTATTGTTCCATCTTTTCTCCATCCTAGTTGCTCCAACTTCTCGACACAGTCACCCCATTGTGGCTAGTGGTTCAATGTGTGCTTGATTAGGGGACGTTTATGACAATTGCTTGTGACATGCCCTTGCATTTTGCAAGCTGTTACAAAAGGCACTATTAGATTCCATAATGATAAGTTGTGATAATCCTTTGAGTACTTGTCATTGCCAACTGATATCCAAACTCTTGAGGGAATAAAAGATGTAAGGTCTATCTTAACACACACTCTAAAATACATTAGATGAGAGCCCGTTTTGGTTCTATGATCGGGATGTAAGAGATTTCCAATAGGTCATACAATCTCTTGTAGGAATGCCTCGGGAAAGAAAGAGATTGGGAGACACGGTAATTTCAGCTAAGCTGTTACCGTTGAAGATTCAACTCTTGTTTTAAAGGAAGAGTCCCATCTAAACAATCTAAATGAGCAATTTCCTATTAGGTGAAAGTCCTATGTCCATGCTCCGATTAGATCCTTTCTATAAAATAATCACATCAAAACATGTATAGGGTCAATGAGCCCAACTACTGGTGATTCTTTCAACTCCTAGTGTTATTGTATATACTCTCGAATGATATTAATAGGAGGTCGCCCCTTAGAGAATTTCACAACCAAAGAAAACTAAAAAAGCTTGTTCGATTGTTGTATGTACGCATCTAAGAACACCACGGTCGGTTCTCCTTCAAAGTGAGAGGGTGGTTGTGGAGTAATGACAATGGGGGAAGGCTCGTGATAGGGTTTAGAGTGATGCATGGTAGACGGCGCATAAGACCTTCAGGGTTTGTTGAATGATGGGCATATATAATTAATTCTAACGTTGGTTTAATCATCTCTATGATATTTAGGTTATTGTGTTTATCTGCTACAATCTTTGCATATGACATTGTTACATTTAAGGTCGATGGCATTGTGGTGTTTTTTGAGATATTGTTTATGGCTAATAGCGAGTGTGGTGTTTTTTGAGGTATTTCCCGAGTGAGGGATTTGAGCTAGTCATTTGAGTGAGTGTGGTGGTAGGGACTGCAAGTATGTGGGAGTTGGATGGTTGGGAGAGGTGGGGCGGAGGGATCTCCCCATGGGAGCCCAAAGGAGAAGATACCACCGCAACTAGGTTTCGAGGTCTGCTAAGGTTTTTCTCAAGTATTGATCAATTAATATTTTAATTAACTACCAAATTAATTCTTTTAATTTGGATAAAAATCCACATCACCATTGTGTCATATAGACTCGTCCGGAGGTTCATTAAATATTTTTTCGGGTTGAACAAAATTTACCAAATTGTTACCATAATTAACCAACTCATTTTCTCCATGACATCTCCATACATAATACTCGGTTATAAAACCATATCTCATCAAATGGTACTTAACTCGTATCGGGATTTTTATAACTATGGTTCTTATGCTTTTTAAGTTTACAAGGACATCTTATCTTATTTTTTACCGTACACTCCGGATGATCGACGACAAAATTAATAAATTCATTAATCTTATCTATGAAATGCTAATTTAAAAAACCATCGGTTAGTCTATAATTGATCCATAAACGATCCAAATTTATTTTAAACTAAATATAATTAATTTAATAAATAGCTAATTTACTTCAATTAAAAAATAAAAAAACTTATTTAACTTAATTAATATTTTAATTAACTACCAAATTAATTCTTTTAATAAAAAATTTAATATTTTAAGTACAAACTAATTGACTTAACTTAACAATTTAAAAACTAAATTAATTAAACTAACAAGTAATTTTATATTTTTTAAAAAATTTTAATAATTTAATTATAAACTAATTTACTTCATTAACTACCTAATTACTTCTTTTAAATAATAATTTAATTACCAACTAATGGACTTAATTTAACAATTAAAAAACTAAATTAACAACCAAATTAATAAAACTAACACATAATTTAATATTTTAAATTAAATTTTATTAATTTAATTATAAACTCTTATTTTCTTATTTAGCTACCTAATTGATTATTTTAAAAAAATTTAAATAATTTAATTACAAAGTAATTGACTTAATTAATAACTAAAAATCTTAATTAACAAACAAATAAATTCAAGTAACACGTAATTATATATTTTATAAAATATTTAAATAATATAATTGTAAACTAATTTTCTTAATTAACTACCTAATTAATTATTTTAAACAATATTTTAAATTTTTAATTAACAACTAATTAATTTACTTAATTTAACAAATAGAAAATTTAATTAACACCTATATATATATATAATTGAACTAACAAAGAATTAATTTCATAAAAAATTAAATAATTTATTTTACCACAAATTTGATTAGTCTTATTAACACGTAAATTACTTATTTAACAATTAATTAATTAATTAATTAAACTAAAACCTATTAAAAATTTTAAAATAATTAAATTATTTAAATACCAATAATTATACTTAATTTAAGTAACTAGTAAATGAAAACTATTTGACACATAATTTATTAAACTAACACTTAAACAAATTAATATTTATTTTAACAAAATTGGACGAGTAAAGAAGGAGGAACTACGCCAAAAAGGATGAGGAGCAATTGCCATGGCACTATTCATGAAGAAGAGGAGTGAAGGGAGGAGGAGGCAAGGAGAGGAAGAAGAAGAAGAAAAGGGAGGAGGAAGGGAGGAGATGGAGGGAAGAAGTAAAGAAGAGAAAGGAGGAGATTTAGAGGGAGTTACAACGGAGATTATAGGAGAAATTGGGAAGAAAATGGTGGAGGTTCAATTGCTTGAAAGAAGAAGAAGAAAAGAGGAGGAAAAAGAAGAATTTGGGGGAAAAATTTACGGGACGGTAGCTTCAGGGATTAAGTTTTTTAGCGATGGTACTCGTCACTAATAAATTAAAAAAATTTAAATATGATCATTTTTCCTCCAACGGTCATAAAGTAGCAACGATTTTCACAAATCGTCACTAATTTAAATCGTTGCTAATTTCGATATTTAGTGGTGGTTTTCATCACAAAAACTATTGTAAAATTCCCTTTCCATCGTTGGTTTGGAAAATAATTAGATTTAGTGATGGCTTTTAGTAACCATCACTAAATATCCTCGTAATACAAGGATTATAGCGACAATTTACGTAAAATATCGCTAAAATCTATTTTTTTAGAATTAGCGATGGTTTAATTAAACACTCGCTAAATTCAAATTAATTACAATATTTAGCGACTCGTTTTACATAAACTATTGTTAATAGCGATCATATGTGATCGAATTAGAGACGATTTTGCAAATGGTCACTAAAACCCATTTCTAAAAAGGTATTAATGACGAGTTTTATAAAAACCGCTATTAAATGGTTTTAGTGATAATTTTTTAATCTGTCGTTGAAAAATTGTCGTTAATCCAAATTTTTTCGATAGTGATACTGCCATCTTTAGCATCATATAAATTACTATATGTCAACAATTTGGATTAGTAATTCGCTTATATTAATACCTCATGTCAACATGTCTTTTTAGTTAGTTTGATGTTCAGAGATATATTCGATTCAACTTCTGTCTGAATTAATTGATACAATTTTTCTTTTGAAAGAATATATATTAACTTTAAAATTTAAACTTAAGAAGTTAATAAAAAGAATAAATATTTTTATCCATGAAACTTATGCATTTGAATTATATTAACATATCAAGTTAGTAAATTTCCCAACTTTGTCCTTTATCATATAATGCATGTTGGTAATCATGTTAATCCGGTGGTTCACAGGATTTGCGACCATCAACCTTACAAAAGAATAAATAAATTTTTTTTTTTAAAAAAAAAAAAACCTTTTCCGAAAGTAAAGAAAGAAAACATGGGAATCCACGCAGTGAAGGAAATGAGGTGCTCTCTCCAATTTATCCTCCTTACCATATCAACACTAACAGTATTTTGCTGTTAATAAAAAATCAAAATATTTACAGACCACCAGCAAAATAGACCACCCGTATCTCGCTGTCCGAAAGAACCAAAATCGGAAGCTAATATCTTCACTCTCTCTTTCTATTTATCCACACAACTTTTCACAGATCCAACACACATTAACACCATCCCCAGATCCAAAATCCTTCACGCTTTACCTCTTCCTTCCTCTACCATCCTCTCCTCTCCTCCAAATGGGATTCGAATCTTCAAACGGCACCGCTTCAGCAAAACCACTAAAATTCCTCATCTACGGGCGCACTGGCTGGATCGGTGGACTCTTAGGCAAGCTTTGCCAATCTCAAGGCATTGACTTCACCTACGGTTCCGGTCGCCTTGAAAACCGACCCTCCCTCGAAGCCGACATAGCTACCGTCAACCCCACTCATGTGTTCAACGCTGCCGGCGTCACTGGTAGGCCTAACGTCGACTGGTGCGAATCCCATAAAGTCGAGACGATAAGGACCAATGTGGTTGGCACGCTGTCGTTGGCTGACGTGTGCAGGGAGAAAGGTTTGATCTTGATTAATTATGCTACGGGCTGTATCTTTGAGTATGATTCGAGTCATCCACTCGGGTCGGGTATTGGGTTTAAGGAGGAGGATACTCCGAACTTTATCGGATCTTTCTATTCCAAGACTAAGGCCATGGTATGGTAATAACATCATTGTTTCTATGGTTTTTTTTTTTTTACTGTAAGGCTGTTTATTTTTCATACGATCTATTTAACGTGTGGCATATAATGGTAAATTTGTAAACAATGTGTTGGATCTAGGCGTTTTGCTTTACTGATGTAATTAATCAATACTTTGCTTAGTGGAGTAGATAGTGTTGTATCCAGTAAGTATTATTTGCAACATTTCATTATTGTTATAGATGCCATTAATCAGAATTAAATGCAAAAATTAACTTATTAATTGTGTGTATTTGTGTGTGTGTGTGTGTGTGTGTGTGTGTGTGTGTGTATTTGGAGCTTAATAATTCTTTTTTGGCCTTTTAGCTTACTATCTTTGCATTCTTAATTGGAAGAGCATAGACAACGATGTCAATGCCTATAATATGTTACAGATTCAATAGATTCTGATTTATGGTTCTTTTCTCATATTTGAAAGGTGGAAGATCTGCTCAAGAATTATGAAAATGTTTGCACATTGCGTGTCAGAATGCCCATTTCATCTGATTTAGCGAACCCGCGCAACTTCATCACCAAGATCACTCGATATGAGAAGGTAGTGAACATTCCAAACTCAATGACGATCTTGGATGAACTCCTTCCCATTTCCATTGAGATGGCAAAGAGAAACCTTACTGGAATCTATAACTTTACGAATCCTGGAGTGGTTAGTCACAACGAGATTTTGGAGATGTATCGGGATTACATTGACCCCAACTTCACATGGAAAAACTTCACTCTTGAGGAGCAAGCAAAGGTAATCGTTGCCCCAAGGAGCAACAATGAGCTTGAAACTGCCAAATTGAAGCAGGAATTCCCTGAGCTCTTGCCAATAAAAGAGTCCCTTGTCAGGTATGTCTTCAAGCCAAATCAGAAGACAGCCGCTGCTTGATGGCTGATGCCACCAGAGTGAAGCCATGGATGCACTGTTGCCCATCAAAGAGTTCTTCATTATATATTTGTTGAAGCCGACAGAAAATGTCACAGGTGCTTGAATTTTTTAGGTTTGGATCTTTTTGGCAATTTCCCTTTTTCTATTTATTAAAAATTGGTCATGTAGGTCGATGTGATCTTTCCACCACTTTATATAGGTGCTTCTCAAATGACATGCATATTTCACCTATTTGTATTTCAATCTTGCATTTGTAACTTGATTATGAATAAATTAGTTAGAGGTGAATTGATTTGTCAACTTATAAAATTTTTTTTTGGAAGTTAATTGGTAATGTATGGCACAAGCTGCTTTGCGCCTTTGCCTTTAGACAAATTTGTTCCTTAGTTGCTGAAACTATTATTTATTGTTTCAAAACAAAATATCCGATTTTTCTGTTCTCATTTTTCCTAGGAATCTTCAGTATTTGTCTTTTGTTCTCAATGAGAATTGTTCAAATGATAAAAAAAATACGAAATATATATGATTGATGAAGATGAACTCTGTGGTAATTGCACTGGAGATGTGATCTGTGTGTTACTAGGGCTTGTCGCAAGCAGCGTTGTTGGGCATCTTTATTGAAATTTAGCTGTGTTGATGATGGAAGAATCTATAAATATTAGTGTCTTGGACCTCCTTTGGTAGTGATTTCTCGTTGAAGATGCAGTGTGGGCCGCGTTGCAGCCCTAACCTGCTGGGGTGTAGGGAATTCTGGCACTGTGAAGGTATCGCAGCCACATAAGTCAACCACACAAGTTTAAACAAGGATTTTACGTAAAATTGAATTAGAGACGCATCCAAAAGATTCTAGTCAAAGACTTGGGAGTCTGATCAGTTTTATTTCAATGAAGCAAGGGCAGCGCAAATTTGATAACGGTAACATCAACATGAAAAATCATAAAATGGGTTTGGTGTGTTAGTTGCGTCCAAGGATGCCGTTCTTGTGATACATGGAAGGGCCTTCGAATCTGTCTGTTTTCTGTATTGCCATGGAGGAAGTGGGTATTCCATACTCATAACCAGGGAGGATATTGTATACAACCACTGGGCTTCTCACCTCATGACCGTTGCCATCTTTCCAGATGATGGCTCCTGACATGATTGGCTGCTGCGCAATCTTTGGTCCGTAGAGCTTCACTGTGAAAGCTTTCGTCTCTCCGATTTTAGAGAATGTGAGGACAGAGGGCTCCACAGTGATGCCAACAGCGTATGGCATGTACATGTTAACAGTGTAGGTTGAGCTATTGCCAACATTGGTAACTGTCCTTGTAAAGACTCCCTGAATTGGTTGGCCATCTTCCACCGCTAAGGCAAAAGTTGGGTAGTTAAGATCCCAGGCTCTTCCAGGTGTTGTGCTGTTGCAAACACTGCTATTGGAGCCAGTGATCATTCTGAGAGTGGTGGTGTTGTAGCCCTGTTTGCAGAGGAAGTTAATGTAATCTGCTTCAGATGCATTGTAAACAAGCCCGGGGTCTATTGCTTGCTCTGGATTGATCTGACCTGACCCGTATGCGAATTCAAGGTCCGGGTGCTTTCTCGGGTCCATGATGGTAGCTTTTCATGGAAACAAAAAAGGGTTTAGTAAAGGAGACCCAATTGAAGTTCTTGCTAGTTGCTAAAATTTCTTTTTCACAAAAATGTTAATAGGAAGGCAGTAGGTTTCTCACCAGTGGTCATGAGGGCAGATTTAACGGCCGCAGGTGACCAGCTAGGGTGGGCAGCCTTCACATAGGCGGCAGCAGCACTAGTGTGTGGACAAGACATGGATGTGCCAGAGATAATGTTGAACTTCACACTCCTAGTGTCCCCTTCGTCGATGGACGGCGGTGCCACAGGTGACCAGGCAGCAAGGATGTCCACCCCAGGGGCGGTGATATCAGGCTGTATATCACCCATGTAAAATTTCAAGTCATGTCTCGAAACACAGACTCAGTAAGCAGTTCTGTGAGTCAAAGCTATAGTATGGAGTCTGTTGGTTACCTTGAGAATATCTGGGGTGATGGGGTTCGGTCCTCTAGAAGAAAATGACACAACTGAAGCTGCCGCGAGATCCTTCAAACCCTGAGCAACCAGAATAGTTGCAATCGGATTCCTGAAAGGTATGGCTATCATGTCAGAACAGCAAAACTAATAAATCGGTTAGTTATTAGAACAGTGGCCTAATAAGAAATTGCATGGAGGTTTTGCTTACTCAGTTGATCTGATGTAGTTCCAAACTATGACTCTATCTTCAGCGCTGATTACTGTTGCCGGTAAGGGGAAATTGAAAGCGAAATCACTGCTGTAAAATGGGTCGGCCATTATGGCACCCACACCATTAGCGATTAGAACCCCAGAACCAGTCACCAAGGCATCACAGAGAACAATCTTCCGCTCCGCTATAAACGAATTCAAAGCTCCAGGAATGCAGTAGCCTGCAATTTCTGGGTTAGCACCTGCTGAAAAGTTAACTGCATCTCCTCCCCAAATCAATGGATATGTGGTCCCGTTGAGGTCAAAGTTATTAATGGAGAGTCCCTTCATTAGTCATGATCCAATAAACAATATATGCGGTATCAGTAAAAAATTAGTGAGAAATCTATTGTTAATAACAACTGCAGTAATCATATACTTACATTTAAGACTTGTCCGTTGCCAAGAACAACTTGTGCAATAAATTTCCTGTCAATGGTGCTGGCAGCTACCGTCAATGTCCATGGTGCATAGTTGGCGACTGAATATGGGTAGGGTCCAGAATTGCCAGCAGAATTTGAGGTCAGTATGCCACTTTTCATGGCATGGAAAGATCCAATTGCGATAGGATCTTCCATATACGGTAACGGCCAGTCAGAACCAAGGGACACAGATATAATATCAACACCATCCGCTATGGCATCATCAAATGCTGCGAGGATATCTGCACTTGAACATCCAAACGACCAGCAAACTTTGTACATAGCAATTCTTGCATTGGGAACTCCACCTCTTGCAACTCCTTCAGCTAGACCAAAGTAGCTCGCTCCCTGCACCTCACGGCCTGCTGCCGTTGAAGAAGTATGGGTTCCATGTCCCTCAGAGTCTCTAGGGGATGGGAAGTCGGTAATGTCAAATTCGTTATCGCTGTTGTACCACCGGGCTCCAATGAGTTTGCTGCAATTTCAAAGGGTTTAATTAGTTGCAGAGTTAAAGGTGAAGCAATGGGGAGAGCAATCAAGAAGATGGTCTTACTTGTTGCAGGTGAAGTTGGCACCAGTGCATTTTCCTTTCCATTTAGGAGATGGAGCACTCATTCCTTCATCATTAAAGCTCTCAGATTCTGGCCAGATTCCTACATAATGAAAACATCAAAAGCTTGTAATTAGCATATGATCTTGAGTTTTAGCCAAAGGGAAACAAATAAATATCAAAGCATAAACCTGTGTCCAGTAGACCGATAACAACATTTCCTTCCAGGGGTGCTCCAAGTTTTCCTTTAGAGAAACCTATGAAGTCCCATGATCTTGTAGTGTGAAGCTTTAGAATGTGATTTGGAATGACTGAAACAACACCTTCCATTTCTGCAGACATTTTCGATCCTATTCAGCATTGAACAAAGCTAATGAAACCTTAATCCTAGTACATTTTGTTTTAGTGCAGCTCACCTGATAACTTTTCGACTTCTTCATCTGATAATTTCGCTGCAAATCCATTGAAACTCCTTCCATAACTATACACCAGAGACTTTTTGGCTGATTCAGTACTGCATTCAGAAAAAATTTGGACGCTTGATCAAAGGCATATGGTGATCCTATATGGATCTCAGAAGCATTAGAAGGGAGCAAGAAATTCATTTTTACATCAACATTTACTACCATGAAACGATATATTCTGCTGAAAGTGTTACCATGCTCTTTCTGTTTTTATGGCAGCAAGTTTGTTTATTTTATTTATTTTATTTTTTCAAATGGTCCTGTAAATAATTTAAACATTGAAGACATCGACCAAGATCAACATACAAGCGGAAAGATGGTGAACAATATATATATATATATATATATATTTATTTTATTATTATTTTTTTAATGTACTTGATTAACTACTACTAATTATTAATGGTAACGTCACCATGCATACATCAGTACTGCTATAATAAAGTTATGAACTTAGTTACGTGTATGTATATAGTTCACTTGGCGTAAAATTCAAAAGCATTGGAATAATAGTAAACTTGTTTTAACCTTCCCATGACACTAGCTAGCATGGAATGGTGCGTTGATGCTGGCGAAAAATCTCCCTGGGGGCGCCCTCCCATGTAGACAATGTTAACCTACACATGAACAGTAACCGCTCAGATATGCTACATATGCGTAGGAATGTAGATACTTAAAACGTGTGGAGTAAAAGAAGAACAGAAGAAAAAATTGTACCTTCTTCTCACTGCCATGGCAATGCACCAAAAATGCAGCAAGCAATAATGGGCACAAGAGAGAAAGTAGCCCTGCCTTGGCCATTGAAAACAAGTTTTGATCACTTCAAGTTTGATGTTCGAAGTGCAGTGGCTATGGTACTTATATATAATCAAGTTTACTGCTTGTTATCACCGAAGAAATTCGTAATTATCTAGAGGGTTTAACTGGCTACATGCCGGCCTTGTTCATTAATGGCTATGTGAATGTCGAAATAATTTCATGTTAAAAAAAAAAAAAACAAAGGAATTTAATTTTTTCTGAGAGATCAGCTCATTAGCAGCAAAATGTGATCAAGAATATCAAGACCAATCGCTATTCGTTGTGTCATTGTTGTGGTTGTCGTCCGCTATCCCCAAATTAATATTACCTTCTTGTTCTTTGTCCTCCGAATTTATATTTTGTTTTTGATTCATGCCCATGAGACATTTGAATGGTTACAGATTTCTTTCTTAGTGGCCTCCGTCAATGTAAATAAATAATAATAAAGAAAAGCATATGCGATTTTGCCATGTTGTAAATTAACATTCATTTTCT